GGTACATATTGTGATCGAAAACCATTTGTTATACACGTAGAAAATATATGGAACAAATGAAATGTGCGTAGATATGCGAGTGTGATGCACGTTACGGCGGTGTTATATTTTACATTCGGAAAATATATCCTCTATGTAAAGACCAATTAGCATGCATTACCGTAGGGATATTAACGAGTGTTCCAATATTACATACGTGCCCTGAAATTCTACCATAATTGCGCCACTGCTTTCGGTTCTAATAATTCTGCAACTGGTTGATAATGTTTCCGTAGCTTGCAACGTCGATGCATCGTCTTACGTCGGATTATTTTATTCACATTTCCTTTTAAAAGATACTAATCTGGATCTTTCAGTATTTTATCGTAAATTAAAACAATGTTCGGAAAAAATTAATTTACCATCAAAGAATACTACAGAAACGGAAATCTTGTAGTCGAAAGAGTATATTAGTATATACTAATATTGCATAGATATTGCTCTTGTATCAAGTGCCACATTCTAAGAAAAACAATAATTTTGTAGCTACCGGAATTGGATAGACTGATATATATCTCACCATAATTTAGGAAGAACATTATAGAACATTTTCTTGTAGGTTTATTGGTCTGTACAGATTTAATTTTACCAACATCAATTGTTCTTTTGCAAATGAACAAAATCCGTAGTCCATTTTATGTACATATATTTTGCTTTGTAAAATGATCTTTTATTAGTTTATTATCCTAAAATGTAATCTCCAATTTCATGGCATCGCTATATTCTGGAAGCTTCCCAGTGTCTTCCTAAAAAAAAATGGCTGGTCTGATGTGGTTATAAATTGAAACAAATAAATTTTTGCAACCACCGTGGACGTGTTTCGTTCTGATGCAACTTCCTCCCCGGAAGCATGTCATAAATTTTGAGTGGCTGTAACCACGTTATTCTGGTGTTAGCTGCTCGTAAAGTACGCAATATCGTAAATGTACATTTTGCGCAGACACGGTTCTTGCTTTTTTGAAGCTGACAAGCCAATTACATTGGGTTCTCATTGAATGATAAAGTATATATGTATAATTGTTATTGAAGAAAACAGTAGCGATCTTGTAAATTCTGGAATAATGACATTGAAAAAACTACTTTTTGCATCCTATTCATCTCTCGATACCAGTCGAATTCCATATAAAACGTTTTTTGTATTAGACATGATATTTAAGTAGACCACCTTGTATAATCACAATTGATTAAAATAAGAATTTAATCCCCTTCAGACAAATGATTCAATTAGTTATTTATTTGTCCATTAGAGATTACTGATTAACTGTTAAAATTCTCTCGATCATGAAATTAATATTTAAGTACAGAACAATCCAGGCACTATGATCGCATACACCGTTTCGTACATTGTTCGGATACTTTTAAAGTGGAAATAGAATTAACGCGATGCGTTATCTAAATGAGATAATAATTTTTTGGGGGGAACTTTATCCTAATCGGAGTTATTACAGATGCTGTCGAATTCTACGACGCAGCAGTCTTGTGGGCGGTAAAACTTTAGATGCTGACATCGATCCGATTCCAGAACACAGTCGCGTGCAACCAGGTTGGAAAACAGTAAACATCGGATCAGCTTGCGAGCTGGTAAACAACAGGCTGATACCGTTTCTACTTTACCATCTGCAATTTCGCTTTTTCGTGTTACGCACCGAGTGGTAGTAACGACGGGTACATCTTCGCCGATTGCGTTGCACGGTTTTTACTCGGCGCATCTTGCTCGCACACTCATTTTCTCGCTCCCTTCGAATTCGACTCGTCATTGGAAAGTTCTTTGTGGCCACTATTTCTTCCCCGAGGCAAGTTACTGTGCACGCTTCGTATTTATGAAGTCAAAAGCAATTAACGAGATGGAAATCGACAAAGAAGCGTTACTTCTCAGCCGACTCGCGTTCAAAAGGCGCAAAAAGAGGAATCCTTCCGTGTGAAAATGTCTCCCTTGAATAATGGCGTCTGGTACGCGAAACTCGTGCTTTCTTGCTCTGCTTTCTGGGAATATTGACTTCCAAGCTTAAAATTTCGGACTACATGGAATCTTGGTCTTGAAAAATTGTAGTAAAGATCGAAAAAGAAATAATCTCATTTAGAAGTTCATGGCAATAAGTTGCTTGTCAAAATCGTCCGAGAGACGTTAAAATGATGTGTAGTTCAAAAGCAATTTTAAAATAAAGACTAAACTTTGTAATAAATATTAAAAAATTCAGAAAAAAAAAATATAATTATATCGAATGTTAAGTATTTTAATCTTTTCATCAAGTATCTTATATTTATTTAAAATGTTATTTGAAAAACAAATTTCCAATTTATTATTTTCTCAATTATTTCTATAGCTCCAAATAGTTACAATCTACCAAATATAAGGAAGATAATTTAACATTATTCACGATTAAACTTACCGCACCTGTTAATTTGACCGATATTTTTTATTTAAAAACTGTTGAAATTATGGAGACTTTTTCACGTGAATCGATTAAATAAATGTTCTAATTCAAGCAAAAGGTCTAAATAATCTCAGTCTTGAATGAAGCAACATTTCTGGCAAATTACTATACAAAATCAATTTTCTAGTATGTTATAAAATAATACATAATTTTAAAATGTGCACGAAATTTTAATAGAAACGTTTGTAAGCAAAGGGTTGTGGTTTTTAAAGAAATAGATCCTATATCAAGCAACTTTCCCCTGCCTGCTGGTAAAGTTTTGACTCGCGAAACGAGTTTGGATGTGGGTGGGTACAAGATAAGTGGAAAATGCGACGACAGAGGAATGATCGATCCGCGTATTACGATGAAACTGGCTTCGGCGAGGCGCCGCGCCGCGCGCCGTTAGGTAACGTGCTTTGTCGCCCGAATCGGCTGCTCGTTAAAAGAGCTTCGCTCGTAAAACAGGTTACGCCGAGCCGTGGAACGCTATTGGTGAAATTTATGCGGCGCACTCGATACTGTTGCGCCGCTTTGACAGTCGGTTACCTTCGATCGTGGAATAGCGCGGATTGTCAATAACATGGTCACCTCGGAACGTGTCCTCAACGAATCGCCCAGCTACGAAGCTGTTTCGACTGTGAACGAATTGTTTTCAAATATATAAGACAAATGAGAAACGAGAGCCGTGGTTTCATGATCAGTGATTCGCTCAGCCATTTCCTGCCGATGGAGTATCGCACGTTCGCGATTTTTTCACTTGTTGGATAAATTTCTTTCATCGCACCATCATCGATCGTCGAATATTTCTTAGGGCAAAAGAGGCAAAAGAGTGAAAACACACTAGACATTTCTTCGGAAGCTTGAGGTTTCTGCGTATTCCAGCTCGTAACTTTTGTTGCGCGTGTTCCAAAAAAAGCACGCAGTGCGCTTAGATTCGGTTGATTAATGAGACTACATACTACGGTGTGAGTTTTAGCGTGCGGAACAGATGAATGGAATCTCGAATCGATACGTACGCTCGAGCTGACCATTCCTATTACGCTCCCTTGCCTTTAATTTCTACGCTAGACTTTGATCGGGAAGGAAGCGGGCGGGATTCAAAACACGTCTGTACCGCGAATTCGACGCTCGAATTACTTTCCAATCTGTTAATTGAATTTCTTAACAGGAACGAGACCGAGTGTGAACGAACAAATCGAGGTGAACGATCGCCTTTCATTTAGATACGAATGGAAGTCTTTACGGCGGCAATATTTTCTTTTAATTAACTGCGCAAACTCGGAAACTTCGACGCAAGCAGGTTCTTGCTACCAAGTGTGTTGGTCTTAACAGTTCCTCTGGGAAATATTGTAAGAATAAAAAATGTGAAATGAAATGAAAATGTTGAAATGTTGAAATTCTGAGATGAAAAAAGAATGTGAAATATTTCTTCTTAAGAAATCACCTCGTGTCTATATTACTCGTATATTGTACATTAATTGATTATAACGGAGGGTGCCTGTTTCCATTTGTCACACGGTTTCTTCTTGGAAAGGACTATTTTTCACCATACGAAAAATTGAGAGAAGGTATGAAATTTTTGTTGAACAAGATCAAGATATCTCGAAAAAGGTAAAGTGGTTTTCTGAGGTAAATTTCAAATAAACATTGTAACTAAAGTAATTATCAAATTTCATTTGTATCTTTATTCTTGTGATCGATGGATTATTAGAAAACAATACGAAGTCAATTGATATTGATTTGAAAAGTTATCTCTTCTCGATAAAAGGTCACTAAATTCTTTCGTGTTAATCATTAGATTGCAGATTTTATGCATTTATGGCAGAAACGAGTAGGTATAATTTGAAACAGCGAGAATATTAAAAGAAACTAAAAGTATTAATGTACTAATTTAAACCTATTAAATGTTGAAAGGAAGAAATAAACTTGTGCTTGGCTTGTGTGTCTTGGAATTTATGCAGACAATTTTTATTTTACATAAAGATCCACTGAAATAAATAATAAAATAACTTACATCGCTATATATTTAAAGATAGGTCATCTACACTCTATACACACCAAATTTGAGGTGGTTATGATATGTATTGAAAGTGACGTACAAAAGTAGTAAAAACCTAAGATTTGGAGTTAGTTTGCCAAACAGAGGGCACATAAAGCGTACATGATCTATCTATAAATATACAATATAGCTGTAATGTGTTTTATTATCTTGTTCAATACTTTATGGATAAGCAACTACTAGAGGTGCGTGAGAACCAGAAAGTGTCGGGAAGACGTCGGGCCGTGTCGAGTCGTTTCCCGAAAATATCCTACAATTTGAGAAAGTTCAGCTTTCCCAGTACTTCGGGATTCTCCAGAATTTTGGGGACGTGAATAACATCCCAAATTCCCGAGAATTTCGATAGTCTCGAATCATAAGATACTCTTGGGAATCCGACCCAACCCAACCCGACCCGACTCGGTCCGATTCGACACGACATTTTCGGATTCTCGTACATCTCTAGCAATTACACATTTCAACGAGCGTATATAGAACGTACGTACGGAGTTAATGTAGTTGTAGAGAGACAAGCCGTCATCCCACGGTTCTTCCTTTTCGCAGGACAAATTAGCGGGCCGCAAATCATGGCTGCGATCCAACGCTGCCAAACCGTGCGCAAAAACATGCACACTGTCGTACACCAAAGCTGGTTCTGCCTGAAACATACATTTCCCTTCCTGTGAAAAGCTTTTTGGTTATGCAACTAGCTTTTTCCTGTCACGAACGTTTCGCGGTGGCATGCGCCATACAAGGTCGATCCAGAACTCGGAAGAATTGATTTCAAAGCACGTTAAACAATCATTCATGGCACGGTAAAGCCTCTCGATTCCATGGGAGTGCGGGTAGAACAAAGATGAAGCGTAATCCCCCTACGAGATGTGCTATTGAAGCCCAGGCAAATGAACCTACATATGCTTTATTAAACAGTGGAGGTCGGAAATACCGGAAAATGAAGATTTCAAACGAATAATAAAATGGCAAAGAGATGAAAAAATGATACTTTCCTTCTAGGGCGAAAAAGTTTTTTCTACCAGAATCTCACTGGAATTCCGCATAAAACTATTAATACTTTCTTATCGACCGGATTACTGAATTCATTGCTCGAATTATGCAAACTGCATACAGAACTGTCGTTTAAAATGTATAGTGGCGTATTAGCCTACCTTTCAAATGGTACTAGAGTTTATTTGTTAGAATTCGTTCCGTTCGATAGAATTTATTGGGTTACTAGCAATTACTGGTACAAATGTGGTTAACAAGACCCTTACATAAACTCTTGCAGATGCGAAAACATTTTTGGAATAAAGCCACGCAGTTTTCGTAAGAAGCATTCCCAAACATCTCTTTTCTCAGCGTCCTGACTGATGCGAATATGTTCCTTTAATATGGTCTCTTTTGTACGTAGAATTATTAAGAAGATCGCTACCGTGGTCACATATGTGCGACGTTCAGAATCTTGCAGTTTATACGAAGACAATCAAATTAATTTCACGCTCGTTGCTCATAGCGTAATGTCCAAGTATTCTCCAACTTCCGTTTGTTAAATAGTTTGGATGAGTTCTAAAGTTTGTACGCTGTGTTTAATAAAACAGTCTAACAACGAAGATAATTAACGAGACTAATCCTAGCTGCGAACGTATTAAGTTCTTTGTTAAATTCGAGGCTCAGTATTTAGGTGCTATTGCGCGTTTTCATGGGTTAACTTCGAGGACGCACTTTTGGCACAGGTCTCGCACTTGGTCAAAGTTCACGCAGTCGTTCGTGTAAACGCAGAGAATTATTTTCCGTTCCGGTGGGCGAGCGAACGAATTTCGGTACGCTCGGCGTTTCCCGATAACCGCGATTTTCGAGGCAGGCATGCCTAAGAGTTACTTGAACTTTCCACCAACCTGGATAACTCCGGTTTTGTTGAGGATCGCTGGACCAATCGGCTGGAAGCGTTCCATCTGCCGGAGAACTTCAGCCACCTTTGGCTCTTCGAGATCCACCAGACGGAACGCAGTCATGTTCACGCTGTTGTACTTGAAATCCTCGAGATCGAACGTTTCGATGTCCTGGAAGCAGAATTTTTCCAGTCCCGATGAAAGGCACAAATGTCGCTCGTCCGGAATTCAAAACCGTTCCGCTGTGACGCGAGCCTGCGATTTCGTACACGCGAACGGGTGAAATTTTCATGAAACAGAGTGTTTCACATATTAACGCCCACTCGACCGTAAATCAGGTTATTCTACAGCCGAATAAAATATTTTGCGATTGATAACCGGGTGTGGATTTCATAATTAAAACGCTAGTAGAAATCATGCGGCCGTAATACAGTTCTGGAACCACGGACGCTGACATTTGTAAATATTGATGGAACGGTTGAAGCGATGACTCTATTAACGGCAAATTGAAAAAATAAACGACGTCATACGTATATGACCGTCCGTAGATCAAGCTGTCGACTGGACTCGCGTGACTCAATATTAATTAATTAGACTATTTATCACGCAGCCTCGCTGGTCATTTAACAACGCCGTTATATCCAAATTTATTGATATAAGCGGTCGGTACCGAAAGGTGTCAGGTTATTTTTTTATGTCGTATTAAATTGCTCATTTGTAAAGCACGTTTTAACATACGTACTTGGTGACTCACGAAAAACAAAATTCATTTTCTAATTGACACTATGTATTTCTAATCTCTTTACGTGATAGTTAATGCCAAGATGAGATATACAATAAACAATCTAGGAGTTCGAAATGATTTTTAGAAAAACTTTAAACAGTAAATCTTTTCGTCATTGTTATTGTAATGTATGCTTGAATTATGATTACGACTGTATCATTTCCTATGAAAGACTCTTCATAATATCGGCAATTTTAAAATAAAAAATGTGAAACCTATTTGGCGTGAAATATACCTATTCAACTCCTTGCTTAACTTTTCGATTATAATAATTTCTCAGAAGAAAAATATACATATTTATTTTTTACCTGCATTTACGTAAATGTTTAAACATTGATACAACATTTTATTTCGACTTAAAAGAACGGAATAATTCTTTCTTAAAAGGTTATCGTTAAAAATCTCCATTATGAGTCAGACTCAAGACAAATGGTTAAGTATCCCGTCCTGCAATTCATCGTCGAAGAAAATCAGCATGTATTCGCGTTTGCTTCAGACATCGAAGTCTTTAAATTGAAGTGAATTGGTCGCCAAATTGTCGCTGACGCAATTATCGTCTACCAGTTCCTTGACCGGTCAGACATCACGATCTTGGACCAACAGTGCTGGTCGGTCGGACATGATTTATAATTACTATGGGATGATACATCGCCCGACTCTGGATCGTTAAAGTAAATAATGTGGATTTCAACAGGGTCAGCGAGTCGCATAGCTGCGTCGCGGAGTCCAGTCGACAGATAAAGCTAGCTTCCGGTTCGTAGCAGCTAGCCTCCATCAGCCTTGCCCCTTACTCCACTCTTTTTGGGTCCTCCTTTCCTGTCCCGACCGCGTTATTTCCCTCTCGAATTGTGATATCGTCGCAGGAAGTCGCGCCGCGTTCCCGGCAAGTGATTTATTCAGACCGGGGCAGTTATGTTTATGCAGCGCGTGCCGAAATCGACCGATGGGAAGCAACGTGCGCAATGAAAACCGCGTCGCGTATATTTTGGATTCAGATAAAATCGCCTCAAGTTTGTCATTTTTCAACAGAGAATTATTTTTGTTCGAATTCGTTGCTAAATTGCTTCATTTATTTATTTATCAGCGATCGCGTTGATACTAGCATCATTGGTGACTAAATATTGAAAAGAATCAGTAGAATCTTAATTCCGTAGCGTAGATTTTCATGCGAAATGTTTTCTATCAATTATAAAAACGGCAAATAGAATTTTAAATGATACAAACTTATATTTAAAATAACATTTGAAATACGGTATTGTTTAAACGACATTGGCAATAAATGAGTCGTATCTTAAAAATAAAGGGATAACCTAAGCAATGACAACTGTGAACGATGTACATATCGTGTCGTAAACAAAGTGGTATTGTTACTACTACTGAATTACTATCTCAGATATCGTGAATATTTTGGATACTTTTCTTCCCATCAATTGTTTCCCATTGCCAACAATTGGTTGAAATATAAATTTATATTTTATTTGATTTATTAAGTCGATTAAAGTGCTGAATACCATTTGAGATCCCAGATATCGCCTTACTCAACTCAGTCAGCCTAACCCACTTTACAGTAAGTACTGGGAAATTGAGTGCGACCAATTTCTACCGATCGGTTGATTTCGACAAATCATCTACTATTCGAATGCAAAAGATACCACCCCCACAGAAAAAATACAAAATAACATTGCTTGCGCCCCTGACATTACAGAAACACGTAGAAAATACTTTGAACTTCGAACTGTCTATGGAAATCAGCAAACACTATAAATATAGTAGCCAGAAAGGAAGAAACAACACCCAATCTTCGCCAATGATCCGAAGGTCGATGCGATATTGAACATGAAATACAAAAAGAATGTGCCAAATTGCTGTCCGTTGCTCAGAAGTCCGTCGTTTCGCCACTCACTCCGCAATACCTGCACGCCTGTAGTCCCCACTCTTCTATGACCTCTCGAAATCCACTTCTATTGGGGGATCGGCCACACGCTCCACCCAATCATGTCTCTTGCTCAGCGCGTAACTTGGCCAATAATAATCAAAAGTCTGAAAATTAGAAGAGGCTGGGTGGAGCGGGTGACTGATTCCCCTTGCACCTAGATCTTAGCTCCTTATGTCATCTAATTTATGCGTGACGTTTCATTTTTTTGTTTCCCGATATTACCTTCGGGTTCTTAACGTTATACGTTAATATAGATATAAGATATCATATGATACAACAAAAATATAAAAAAATATGTGTATAGCATAGCTGGATTGCTGCATAATCCAATTAAAAATTAATCAAGATGCTAATTGGTAATTAATAATTACAAATACTCATGTATTTATCGGAAGAATTTGAAGTTAATGCTTTAGGGATAAGTTAACGCTCTTGCATCTTGTAATTGTTGCGCCTGTTTTACTTTGCCTCGATTGTTCTACGCTTCCTGATTCCCGTCGCGCGTCTCGCTCGCTCATGGTCGCATAGATAATTCACACACACCCACACATAGCACAGGCACACACATCCGGTGTGTTCTTAGCCGATAATGACGACCACGGAGGAGCCAGAGGGAGACGTGGAAATTTCTCGTTTCGTGGAAATTTAGGTTTTGGGCCTAACTTGGGGCTAATACAAGGGATCATCTCTGGTAATAAGAGAAATGCATTTGTTCTACTTCTACGAGGGCGTTAGAATGGGTGAGTTGATGGGGATCTGTCCTATACTTTTCTCGGCGGACTTCTTCTGAGCAACGAATAGTACAAACTGATGTTTTGCTATGTAAATATATTGCAACGGCTTCCTGTAAATTCTATTCAATATTATACCTGCAGTTTCAAGAAATATATGTTTCTAAATGGGTGGAAATATTTTATAGAAGAGAACAAATATTTAAGTCGACCACATCGTGCAGGTTCCATTCCTAATTTGCTGATAGATCAACGTGTACTTCAGACAATAGTAACATCGTAGCAGAGTGTACCCACATTTTCATAAGATTAATATACTGAACTATGAACTACGAATAAAAATTTACTTCTTTAACTTCGCTTATCCAGAATTTAAATCTGTTCTGTATCATATTTTGCATAAATATATAAACCCGGTAGTATAATATTATACAACAGTTTTACATTTTAATAAATTAATTAAATTTAGATAAAAATTACAATAATTTTTAAATATTTATAGAATTTTTTTTAAAAATTCAAATTAATCAAACAAAACAAAAATTTTTTGTGAAAAAACGAATAATAAAAAAGTTAATAAGTAGCAAATATAGAATTATAGAATTTGTTTGTAATAATAAAAATCACGAATCTTAGTAATTTTTATATGAAAAAAGCCTTAAAAATTTTGTTTGTAATTTTTCTCATATTTTCATTTATACATATTATAGT